TTGACTTTTGGTAAGGCAGCTAAGACCCAGGTTTCCCAATACTAGGATTAAGATGAGTATTCTGAAGTTTAAAGGAAGCTTTAACAAGGTCAATAAAATGTCAAAACCGGGTCTTGCGCTGTAGAACCGTAGAAGTCAATTTTCACTGACGGACATCGTGAATATTTAATTTTAATAGATGTTATACTGCTGAGTTGGATTCTGCACATATGGATGCTGTATTTATAGAAATGACAAGACTCGAAGACTGATATTTAAACTACTATCTTAACATTTAGCTTGGGATAAACAGACCGATTTAGACAACTTCGGCGGTATGGCGTAATGCACATGGTTATATAAGCGGTTTCGTCGTTTGGAATCATCGTTCAGGGTTTATACGATCCCAGTAGGTCGAAGATGATGCATTGAAGGTACTTTTGGGGTGACAGCTTTCGGTCACTGCCACCCTCTTGGGGGAAACAGTAAGGCGTGTGTATGGTATTGATATTAACTGAGTTAATGACGCACGGACTATTTTTTTTTATTTTTCTTTTGTAATCGCTGGATTGCGTTTAAATCAAGAGGCAACAGAGTGGGCTAGTGTACAGTAGAAATATCGAAGTTAGAATATTCTGGGGATTTTTTTACTATACAAGAGAGACTTGAGGTAAGGTTAAAAAGCAGAAGTGAATTGGAGCCATTTAATCTGATAGACCGAACGTCTGGGGTGACCATTTCTTCAGAAAAGTGAAATATTACCTAGGGTAAGACCGTTATCCTGAATATTGTGATTTTCAAAATTGAAATTAAACAGTTACGCGTACAGATTCCTGCTGACAACTTCGAAAACTGCGAGATCACTTACTCGACGCCAGTGTGAGGTTTACAATACTACAAACGCCATATTTGAATCACTTAAGATAATAAAAACAGCAAATTCAACGACATTCACTTATTTGTGATTTTAGATCTATGGAATAATGACAACGTGGGAATATCCTCAGGTATTTTTCATCATCTGGATTTTACTGTGTGCTGTGGGGTTTATTGGCAACGTTCTCGTGATAACTGTTGTCTGTTGCAGCAAGCCCATGAAAGGTACCACCAACATTCTCATTGGCAACCTGGCCGTCGCTGACCTGTGCTTCATCACAGTGGGTGGGATCGGTTACGTGCTTCACCTGAACTTTCTGACGTCATCTCAGGAATATTACATCATCAGCGTCACGGAGAACGCTAGCGTTTACACCCTGGTTTTCATAGCGTTGGAGAAGTACCTCAGTTTAGTGCTGGTGTTCCGATCTCGTGTATGGGAGACCAAAATTAACACCGTCATCTCGGTGGTTGTTCTATGGGGTGTGGTGCTCTTGATTAACACCCCCGTACTGATAACGGAGACCGTCAAAGGCACAGAGTCCCACAATCTTACAAATTCGTCAAATTATGGGTTATCAATGGAGAATTCCACGTGGACTATCTCCCACGTCCCAGGGACAGAAGAAGTCATCTACAGAGCAGCGAGAGGGTATTATACTGTGTTTTTCGCCATCGGCTACGCGCTGCCGTTGCTTGCAATGACTGTCATGTATGCAATGGTGATTCGTAAGTTATACCACACTCATGTTGTATTATCAGAAAGCCACAAGTCACCACACGTGGATATGCACGTGCATGAGGCAAGGCGTAGACTCACGTGCGTGGCTGTAACTGTGACCGTCGTATTCGCACTGTGCTGGCTACCAACGTACACAAAAACGTTCATATTTTACTTCAGTTCGGAACAACCAAGCGGATTTGAGGACCTGTGTATTGTGGCGGATTTTCTATTGTTAATTAATAGTTCAGGAAACCCCATATTGTACGCTTTCATCTATGTGGATTTTAGACGCGGTGTTATTGAAACATTTAGAAAAATAAGAAGATTATGCTGCTAAACTCATGTAGCTGAAAACTGAAGGTTTCCCAAGTGACAGCATAAGTTGATTGGAGAATGTGAAAAAGTTAATAGTATTATATATCAAAATTTAAATCAAAAGAATAAAATGTAACTAAGAATTCCTTTTACAAAACTTTTATACACGTTTTATTTTGAATATTTATGTTCATAACACAGTGAACTGGGGTCTATCGAAACTACATGTACTTAAGCGAATTTCAGCAGCTCTCCAGTGATAATTGTCAAATCGTTGATCTTATTTGCGTTTTTCATGAAACCATTCCAATGAATGTGAGTACACATTTTGTGAGTGAAATCTAGCGATAGGTAAACTCTGATGAGCCCAACGCATTCTATAATCCCCGATTTCATTAGCAACGGTAATAATGAGAATTTTACTAGAGAGATAGATGCTCTGTTAAAAGATCGAAATCAAACAACGCATCTTACTGGGAGAGTAGACATTTTGTTAAGCAGTGTTTCACTGTCCAGGGTAAATACTCCAATGCCTCCCCCCCTCCCAAGAAAAAAGAAAAATAGAAAAACATGTAATAAATAAATAAATAAAATTGAACAGCTAAATAGATAAACAGATAAGTGTGGGATGATGAATTAATAGATACATACATTGGATAAATAATTCTAGGTAACTAAAAGAGGGGCGTGTACCGCGTGTTTGTTAATTAACTTAACATTTTTTTATCAAGGTCACGAGCATTTTGTGAATTCGTTGCTTTCCTAGAAGCAATTTGTTTGCGACGACTCTCATCTAAATCATTCAATGGTCAGTCAATTTCACCATTCCCACTGTGTATCTCATTTATGCCCCATGAAGTCATTTACATGGACACATAACCATTCAATCGGTAATTGGATTCGTTCCCATTAGACTCAGGTGGAACGATCTTTCATCGACCGAAATGCCGTCGCCAATTTTCATCAATTAAAAAAGACGAGCGAAAGCGTATTGGAAAACGAAAGGCAATGCCTTGGACTTATTTGAAGGAAATCAAAAGGTTTACAGGCGTCCTGCTGTGCAGACACGGGCTTGATTGCAATAAAATTGATCACCGTTAACCGAAATGTGTATGAACGTGCCCGTCGGTGTTCAATGGGCATTCTGCGCCTGGAATGGAATCGATAAATTGGTGCAGATATTAAAATGATATGTCTTTCGGCCAATTTAAGGTGTAAGGGAAATAAAACGGAGGTTAATAGCCTCGATAATGTCAACCTGCCCCCTAGAGAGTAAATGAATACTACACGGCTTTTGATGGAATTTCTGCACAAAATGAAATGCACTGATGAATGGAGGCGATTAAGGACAGGTTCAGAAAGGATTTCATTATATTGATGATAGTAATAAAGATAGGCCTACTGCGAATAATAATAATAATAATAATAATAATAATAATAATAATAATAATAATAATAATAATAATTATTATTATTATTATTATTATTATTATTATTATTGTATTTCTGGTATGCATACATACAGTTACCATGGTTATTATGCAGTAAACGAAATACAATCAAGTGTGATAAACAATGTCAATCTTGTGGTATCTCTTTTGAAATATCGATAAAACATTTTCTCGTCACAACTGTAAGACATATCATACTTTTTAGATTTTTATATAGCAACATATGGCAGGAATAACGGCAATTTCAACGGTCTTGGATATGTTACACTTTGGTGGTTAAAGGAAAAAAGTATGGTACAATATCCATAAAAATCAGATATTGCTAAAAGGTACTACGCTCACGGTGCCACTTTTGAGCAACTCACTTGAGCACCATCACGAGCAAACGCCCTTTCAACCATAGCGGTGTCTGAACCCTGTTTGTGGGAAGAGTAGTCCTCAGAAACTCCGCTACTTTTGCGTGATAATGAACTACACACGTAAACGCCTCCTCAACAGAGGCGGTCAAAGAAACCCCTTGGTGGGTACGGTAGAACCTCCAGATGAAGCCGATAACTCACCTTGGGAGATTTTGCGAAATCGGGATGCCTCGAATACCAGGGACCTGAGTCCATCGAGAGAGCAGGAGACGGTTCCCGGTTGATACTAGACCCGCGGTTATCATTGATTTGTACAGGTAAATATTGACCCAGACCCACTCACGTCACGCTAACTGTAACCTGTGTGAATCCAATGGGGGCCGATTACACGAACAATATTTTTTTTTACACCACGGTTTCGTATTGAGGCCCAAAATCTAGTATTGAAGCGAAAGTCATTTTAGTCGTATTTTAATAGGGTGTGATCGTTAAAGAAATCTTATCATAATGGTTTGGACACTTTCACGTGTAGATTAAATCGTACCTTGCATATCGCAATATATACCGATAATCAAAACAAAAAAGCGGGAAGCAGATGAACACAAGCTTTTCTATCACATGGTTACTTTTATTATAGTCAAAACGTATAGATAATATAATGAAGTAATACTGATAGGTATTGTTGTCTTATTCCACTATAACGTACAATCGTCATGTATATATATATATATACACTGCATTTGGACATATTAGCACAATATGTTGTAATTGTAGCATAAAAAAATTATTTCAGATTGTAAAATAAATGATCGGTTATTATTTTAATTTAATGTATTATAAATCCGCTCCTCAGAGTGCTTTCTGTTTTTTTTTTTTTTTTTTTTTTTTAAACGAAGAAGACCGCCACTTTGAAATCACCATTTTACGCTTTGAAAACCGATACCACTATGGTGAAAACAATTCATTTTTAATGTGTGCAGAAATCATACTTTTACATGGCAGTGACTCTTGGGCCTTGAAAAAAGAGCTAGCTCCAGGATAAATAATATGGCACAAACATCAGTTCGCTCGCAGGGAAACATTACAGAGATCTATGACTGCATTCCCACGTTTAACCGGCTTAAATGTCTGTCCCGCCTACTAAAAGCTGTAAGGGGGTAATTAACTAAAGTGCGCGCTCGGCTGACAGAAATTTAGCGTGAACGCCCAGGAAGTTAGGTCGATCCAGATGGATCGATCTAAATCTGTGGGAATGCAGTCTATGATGTCATCCCTCCAACATAAACAAATGTGGCAATAGGTGGCAGAGCGGAACTGGCAGACTTCAGTTTCGAGACCAAAGAACAATTTAAAGTGCATGTCTATTTGACGTGCCCTGCATGAGAACATCCAGACGAATAAGTTGTGTTGAATCTATGGCAAGAGACGGTCGTGAGGGCAGTTTACACCTTCCAAGCTTAATGACCGATAGAGGGCACTGGAGCAGCAGCAGGTAATTTATTACGGATGTGAGTGTATGATGAGTATGTTAATCACGAATTTGGTAATCGATGCATGAACAGAGCTGATGATCTACTGCATGTACAGGATAAATGAGCGAGATGTGAGCGTTACATGGTTGTAATATTTCCATGTTACCTAAACTTTTCAAACAACGTGAAGTGCAGCGTTTTACCGATATTGTTAAGTACCAGCTCGTGCGATGAAAATAAAAATGTTGTTTCTGTCAGATTTTCTATCTCTCTCTCTCTACATCTCTATCTCTCTCTCTCTCTCTCTCTCTCGTTATTGTGTCTGTCCTGGAACATCTCCAGTGTTCTCGTTTACTTCCCACGTGACGGCGAGATCTGATTGTCCCTTCTTTGACTTTCCTTTGCGCTTCTTTGATTTCGATTTTGATTTTGGTTTAGGAGCTGGCACTTGGAGAGAATTGCTTGCGTTTTTGTCCTTTGAAGCAGGCATCTTTGGTTTTGATACCCCTTTGATTTCGTCCATTAGTTCTTCTTCTAAACACTCTCTTAATATGGTGTCAACAATGTCTTCATCCCTTTCAGCAAACACTTTGAAGATTTTGAGAAAATTGTCTGACATCTGAAACGGCAAGAACAGTTAGTTAAGCTTTATTTCGTTCCCACGTTTATAACACAATTAAACTACAACAGCATTATTGCTAATCTAAACTTTTCTTTTATCAGAGAGATCGAAGTGATTGTAGCCTTGGTAAATACAGCATGCATGCAATTTTCGTGAGCACGTGTGTGCGTGCGTATGCGTGCTTTGCTGCACGAGATTGACATGTACGCGTTTTCATGAATTTATAAACACGATTTTTCAAGTTTAGGAAATCCATGTATAATGGACCGGCTTTTCGAAACGAAAATTTAAAAAAAAATCATTATAGTTGCTCATTACCTTTTCGGCCAAGGCCATGGCCGTCTCCATATCCCTGTCCACGGGTCGCTTCTTAACCTTCTTCTTGGGAACTTCGCCATTTGTGTCCGCGGACATGATGTGTTGTTGCGCAGTCGCACTTCGGATCACCACACGGCGCCGAGCATTTTTGCTCTTGTCACATGATGTGTTGTCCTCAACGCCAGCTACTTCCAGCAGAACCTGCTGAGTGTCGATAGGTGGCGCGGTTGTGCTGTCGTTTGTTTCTTGGGTTGTGACAGCAACTGTGGGTATGTCATTGATCGCTGTTATAGAAAAAAATTTAATCAATTGAAACAGATAGACCATAAGCTTCTTTTTTTTTTGTAACTTTATTTCTTTCTTAGAGACGCCGTAGAGTCGAGCGTTGGCTAATATATATATTACTAGAAATGGAAGGTGGGAATTTCTAAATTCACGGAGTTACGTGTTTATCAGTATATTTCTCCAGCTTCTTCCTCCAGAAACAGTTCACCGGATTCTTTTAAAAATATTAAAAAAGGGCGGTTTCTGGCGGGGAAATTATAAGTATGGCACTCTCGAACAGGGAAGTTAAATATGCGCGACCAAACGTACCGGGGTACCTCAGTGAATAGTCTTATCGGGAAAAACATCTGTATTGTTTACATGATCAAACCGAAACGAATAGACTTTGATACTCTTACCAGGCTTTTTGCGGGAGAGTTTACTCTTCTTCTTCCTGTTGATTACGGTATCCACCCAAGAATTCATCTTGTTAGACAGGTACTCTGCCAGCTCCTTATCGTACTCCTGCTTGGATTCATCAGTCTTGAGCTCCGCCAGCGTATCATTGATGATAGATATAAACATATTGAGAAGCATGAAATTCATGCTCATTGTAAAGATGAAGAAGAACACTTTCAACAAGAACGTCTCCTCCGTGATGACGTCGGTGTATTTCAACACCCCCAACATCACGCCGAAGAGATTAAACATGGCGAAGGCAATGGCTCGGAACGCTGCCAAAACGCTTCCACTGTTAACCATCAGCGTCAGTCCGAACGTGAAAAGACAGATGATGAAAATCACGGCGTAGGAGAGAAGGTCCAGGAATGACCTGGTCAGGGTTGTGCTCAGGATAGACAGTAGCTTGTGGAAGGAGAGGGGTCGGAAGAGGTGTAACGTGGCCACGAACAGGCTGATGGCAATGGTGAGAGAGTACCCGAAATCCCAGTTGGCTACGAGATCGAAACCAACGAAATGACCTGAAAAGAAAAGGATGGCGTAATATTGCTTTATATACTAATATATGCTTTATGACTGTACTGTGATACCTGATCTTAAGGTTTATGGTATACATGTAATTAGTTAAAATGGTGAGACGCCATCGTGAAACCTACACTATCAAGGCAGTGTATACCGCGTGCAAAAGAGAGAGTTTAGATGGAATGTTTATAACCCTGCACAGTTATTCATGGAATATACCTAATAGCGACATCATATACTACCAAAATTGGTATATAAATGATAGAAACATATATACAGTATAATATGATAAAACTGATTAAAATTATACCAAATAATCGTGTGAACAATCAAGCCTGTCTCCGGACTGACTTTAACTTACCATTATTATTTTTCACATCTTCGACGGAACGGATGACATAAACGGTTCTCAGGACAAAGCAAACCATGCTGGCCACGGCGAACAGCAAGTCTATCAGTATCGCATAATTCCACAGGACTTTGAAGTACTTCGATCTTTTCTTGAACATGGAAATGCTCTCCTTCACGAGGAGGTAGAAGACCACAATAGCCCATATGACTTGAATCACCAACAGGATGAAATCGAACGGATTTACATACGGGTATGGCCGGAAACTCACGAGCTCCCTCGTGACGAATATCCCGCCGATGGCCGGCAGTTCCAGTTTGATTCGAACCATTGAAAATACATTCACATTCATATTATTTATGGTAAATTCCACAAAGACCACCCTAGTAAGGCGGTCGATCCAGTTATTGGCCAGAAGCGTGTTCAGAACCGTGATTCCTTCCGCTAGGGAATTGACTTCCACGGCGTATCCACCGCCGTCGTAAAGGCTGAACAACCCAGATACCCAGAGGTCCTTGTCGCCATTGGGAGATGTGTGGTTAAATGCTGTGGCGGACGCATCCACGCCAGCGTTAAGGCCTGCTTCCCACCCTAGAAAATTATTTTCAGTATTTAATTTGGCTACTAGTTTAATAATCACTAATAATACAGCTGTAGGTGAATTTACTTCAAATGGCTCGCCCCTGTCAGGATTTTCAAAACGTGTTTACTGATAAATTCTTATACTATGGGGTTAAACATTGCACTCCCGCAATATGCCATCGATCTGTACCCACTTGATTGATAATCATCCCACTATACCCTAGTTCCACCAATGTTCTGTACTTACCTGGCTGGTAATTCACCTTGTCTTGGCGTTCAAATGAGTAGTCAGTGTTGCAGGAGTTGAACAGATTTGTCATGTGTGGTATAACGGTACAATGACCTTTGAAAATCACAGAAAATAAACATATCAATTGAGGGGATAATATCATGGCCTCTTGTAAAAAGCTAAAATACGTTGGACCGTCGACAATGTTTTTTCTAAGAATGTCATCAATTATTTCCTTTTAAAACTATTGTATTGTGTCCAAGCTCCGAAAAAACCCACAAAACCTGACTGGTACTAACGGAACCTAAATTTTATAATAATACAGATTCCGTCTCATTAGATCTACATCATCTTACCCTGTACCACTCTGTGTTGGCGCAGGCGCAGTGGTCCAAGTCTGAGGGCGTAGATGTCATGAAGGAACTGTTGGTCGTAGGCATCCAAGGCGGCCCCCGTATAGTCTGTGTCAGGAAAAACTGCCGGGAAAATGGTCCCATTTAGCCAGGAAAATATGGTCTCCATTCGCTGAATCTGCAAAACGATGTACAAAAATGAGAGACATCCGGAGATGTATAGTTCCTCAGAAATTATTATGACTTTATAAAATAAAAAAAAAACGGGCGATATTTCTTGTCAATCTCATCTTACGAAAAACGTAGCCATTCTATTTATCCTCATGCGCGTGCAAAAAAAAAAAGAAAAAAAAACGCGTTTTCAAATGAGTGTCGTGATAACACAAAGGCAGACAATAGAACAGATAATGTAGGCATGATGTAGTGGATTTGTAAAGTACCCTCATGCTTGGTATGAAGTGTGAAAACGAGGGGAAAACGTACCTCACTGAAGGTACCATCATCTAAACTAAGGCTATTCCTCAAGTTGTCATTCTGCAAGAAGAAGTTGGGATCTCTGTTGGCAAAACAGATCACCAGTAACAGAAACAGGTACCCAAGATGCACCGCGATGTCGTTCACCACCCCGGACAGTTTTTGTTCATGTTTCTTCTGTAGTTTTCTCATTTTGATTTCCTCTTCGTCTATCGTGGTGTCCGCCATGGGGACAAAGACGGCTTTCGGGATGGTATCTGGATGAAGAGGAATGTGAAAATACATGTATTTAAACCAAATGATCTCTTGACACGTATATAGTAATACGTACTGTAATTCTGAATGAAGCTTGTGTTAACTTAAGTATATAAACACCTTGGTGGTGAATTAGTGACCATCATTCGAATAAAATAGAAACCAACAAGAAAAACTGCTTTAGTTTAAAATAGCCCCAAAATTAACATCTTCCGTTACCCAGAACAACTGTGCCAGCATTACACAAGGGAAAATGAGAATCTACAATATGTCACAATTATTTAATTTTCAGTGGAAAATAATACATTCGTAATTTGTGCACGTCCTGGCAAAATCACAGAGCTTTATAATCACAGCTTATACTTACAATTATATGGTAAAAGCACGTGTTCTTCTATGACAAAATCATCGTCGGTCTCGTCGTCTCCGGGCATGCGCATGATAATGGACATAATCAGAGCCAATAGCAGTACCTGGGACAAACAAAAGATACCTGACATAAATTTGTCTTATAGATTTTTTAAAGTTTCAGTGAAAAACAGCTCTAAAAATAGATGTAATGTCTACGATTTAAGAACAAAAGTCTTGCTTTCCATTATGCTGTTCCATAAAATTAACCAGTCAGGTTACATGCATATCATAATATCGTTACTTTGCTTGTGAGTTTGTCATTCATCGTGTATAAACTCTTGTCTTGCAAACTGCCATGATTATAGTCATTTCAATCTTTTTTGTTTTGATGACAGGCTTTTGCAAAGTAACCTTTATTTTTTTGTGTAGTCTACCTTAAAAAAAACTATTATAGAAACATGCCCTCCAATTGCATCCGTACCTGTAAAGGCTGTACTACTAAGACCGACTCGCCAAGAGCGAAGAAGAGAGCAAGAAGCCAATTGGTTGATTTGGTCGCCCCCCACTCGAGGCTGTACAATAACGTGAAGAATGCTGACGTAAACACTGCCACAAATGCCAGGATGTACCCGAACACGACGAACCACCAAGGAAACCTGACAGGCTTTCGAGGGGGGTTGGGAGGCTTTGCGGGCGTCTCGGGTGGCGGTGGAGGGGACTCGCGCATCATCTCATCAAATTCAGCAATAGCTTTGACGAGGTCAGATTTGTCGTCCTTGGTTTTGGCTTCCTTGTGAATTGCTAGCACGTTTTCCACTGCTTTGAACATCTTCTCGTCCTTCTCCTCTGGCACGAGGGCCTTCCTTGCCACAGCCCATTTGTCTGCTTTATACGGGAAAATTGACTTGTCGGTTTTTCTAGGTCTACTCCGCCGAAAAACTTCCAACATGATAAAGGTAGGGGGGACCACGAGAACACTGGCAATCAGACCAACATACACCTGTCTGAACGTGATCACAATGGGGCCGATGGCGATGCCGTTTCCCTTGTCTTCGTTTTCAGTATAGAACATAGCGTTCGATATCATACACAAAAACAGAACAGCCAAGCACGTGGTCAGCCGCTGAACTCTCGTGAGACGGCTGGGCGTCGGTCGCTTGGCAACGGAAAACCATAAATGGTCGTCGAATATTTTCTTCTTGGCGTTGTTGCTAAGGAGGAAGGAGAAGTCTTCCAGGGCCGTCTCGTCCGCAGCTGTTAGCAGCCTGTCGGTGTTGCCGTCGTCCTTGCATATGGAGAGCCACTCGTCACAGAGAAAAAGATATCTGAATGAAGAAGAGGGTTAAACAATGTGATAATGGTTGTGCTTCCACGTGCACATGGGTTCAGCACTGTATAATTATTTTTCCATTTGCACGTAATTTATTCATTTTTCTTTCTCCTCAGTCTTATATTTTAACCTAAATACATTCTAGGATGATTTTATGACTGATATAAGAACGATTTTATTATGGGGATTGTGTGTGCGATTTTATGTATAGTACCGGGTATGTACTCTTTTATGTCTTTCATCGCTGAGATGGGAATAAATATATAACAGCATAACTTAAATAATAATTATTGTCTGTATTGCCCTCTCTCTCTCTCTCGCTCCCTCAGCTTAACTGACCTGTCCTTGGTAGTGACGTCATAGACTGTTATCTTGTCCAGGTGCCAGCTGGAGGCGTCATCTACCTGGCAGTGCCACACGTGGAGGTGGGTTAATCTGCCCAGCGACCGCGGGGTACTCAGGACAAAGTTACACACTTTGCCGCTTTTGAAATTCTAGAAATTAATAAATATTGAAGAAATGAGTAATGGAATGAAATTAATTTATCCTTACTAGCGCCTAACCGGTCAAATAAAAGAAAACTCAGCCAAAATTTGTAAGTAAGTAATTTTGCACCACCTGGTCCAGTTATTCTATACCAAAATTGAAACTTTGAAACCAATGACTAGCTAAATATAGGACATTAACGTTTGTGTATGAAGTGAACTTTCTATGACCAAGTATCGCTGTGCACGTGTTTGTATTATGTAATTAAGTTCGCATTTAGATTGGAGAAGTTGATTTTCTAAACCTAATACATGTATCTTTCGCAGAAATTACACATCGTTGTCGTTGTCATGCAAGAATAACGTTTACACACCATAATTAATACTTACTTGGATATGACGCCACGTACTGATACTTGAACAGTGTCGTGTAACCTACCTCCCTACTGCGATCCAGGAGTACTTTCGGTTTCGTTCTTCCCTCAGTGCCATACAATATTACGTATGGAATGGCTGTAGTGTGCTTGGGGGACTTGGAACTGGTGAAAACACTGAGAAGATAGTGCTGCTGATCCCAGCGCTGGTTTTCCAACAGATGATGGTGAACCCACTAGAAAAAAATAAATAAGGGATATTAGTTCTAAGCGTGTCAAGATGATGCTGTGACGTAATGGTGACGTCCCAACTACACTGTATAACTGTTAAGTAATTTGGAATTTTTTTTGAGAAATCAAGGTTACCCATGTTGGTGTAATAACATTATTCAATTACACAATTTTGATAATTGGAGATTTTTCGCAACAATTCATATTGCAACGAAAGTATTACGGTAAAGACACAAAGAATTCGTGCAAACAAACTTTCAGTATATAAATTACAGTCACACAATAGCAGTTAGTGGAAGTATTGATATTAATAGCCTTTATAATCTTATTACCAGTTGTAAAGCTTGTGTGTTATTTCTTAAACATTGGTTGTTCGGTAATTTCAAATTATCCTGATGATAGGTTATACCTTAGATGCGGTAATTGGATAATGTATCAATTAACCAATACTTTTATGTATTTATTTTCTGTAGAAATACCCGTTGACATGACTGTCCATATGCAAAGTTATAATGATTTCTAGAATAATAAGACCAGCAAAAATGAATAATAACTAAGTGCATAATACAGCTTATGAAATTTTTCGGTTACATTGTACAAATACAAAATTCAGTTTTGCTTACGTTCTCCATATCTTGCTTGTCCTTCCTCCTCGCCCATATAAACAGTAAGAAATACAGCGCCACCAGGGAGCTCATCACTATCAGCACGTGCGGCGCCTGCGCGAGGAGGGCGCTGAAGTTCCCGAACACTTTGCCGAAGTCTATTGTGTTAGGTGGGACGAACAGGCCCGCAGCAAATGAGCCGAAGAAGTTGCTCTTGAAAACCACCTTGTTGGATTTAGAGGCGCCTTTAATCTGAAACACGAATGAAATCCTTCAACGTGTTTTAAGTAACATATCTATATCTGTGATATATTTTACACCGACGGGTAATGTACGATGCCCATATTAAAGCTTATTTTATATTTTTCGTTGTTTCATTAATGCTTTTTTATGAGAATGGGTCAATATTAGTTTGAGGGCGGGGACGATATAATACTTTTCACATATCTAATATAAGTTAAAGATAACTAAAAGCAAAAAGTGTAAATCTAAAGCAAAATCCAACGGTACCTTAAGACCTGATGGCGAACCCCATGATTTAGATGTACGATTATATGAGGAAGGGGTGATTGCAGTGGACCGCATACTCAGGGTACCATTGCCGCCTGTCGATAGGAGCCGCCTGCTACTTCCGCCACCTGATGAGGTGGCTGATTCTGCACGTGAGTAAAACGTTGAAGAATCGCCAAATCATTGTTTTGTTTAAGAAGGTCGTTTCTACTACAGCTCGGATTTCAGTGATTTGATGGCAAGATAATTAATGCCAAGACCATATTTTTTTTTAATGTTCCTTAACCTCATCGCTGTTAAATGCTGCATTTAGGCCCTACTGCATGTAGGTACTGTTAAGCCAACCACTAATATTAGAAAAACTTCATATATAAATAGATACATAAATTCATTAATAAATATTTATTTAATAAATTAGCATTTAAATTATTTACATTATAATAAGGGAGCAATCTACCTCTTCCATAGATTTATCGGTCTAACAACAAAATGAGGTTTGTGTTTCATACAATCTAACACTTACCCTCGGCCAAAAGAACCGACAAGCCAAGTTTTTGTGCTGTCCCTAATGCCTCTTGTGGTACGACTATCACCAGCGTCCCATTATCAAATTCTTCGTTCACGTCGATATTTTTGTCGGAACTTTCCACAGCAGACGACACAACGAACCGAAAATCATAACTCTGCTTCGTAGCTTCTCCGTCCAGCTTGCCTAGGAAAACCAGCGTCTGGTCAGGAGGAATGTCGAAGGACAACAAGATTGCGGCGTCTTGGATGGCGATGGTTTGAGAGATCCCGTTGTCGGTGGTCATGTTTTCCATGTTTGCTTGAGTTTCTTCAAATTTCATTGCTGCTCCGACTTCGGCCTCGACGAAGCCACCGTCCAGTGCTGCCATCTGTCCCGAGTCCGTCTTCATCTCGAATGTAGTAACTCCGGAAGTGACGTTACTTCCGCCCGGAGCGTACTTGAATGCGTTGTCTGCCATTGCTACCAGCTGAAGAGAAATGCGGAAAGTGTTGAGAAGAAAGCGAATGTCAGGTCACTGGGTTTTGCAAAGGCAACTTAAAGGAGAAGGGAAATGGTTAAACTGAATAAAGTATACTGAGTAAGTCGTACTGCACCCGGAAGAATGATTATTTCATGATTTCAAGAAAATATCAAATAAAAAAAAATGATATTTTTTATTTGATATTTTATTATTTTAATTTTGGATGCTATTTAAAGATCCTCTGACATCGGAGGATACACTGTAAGCTATTTGATTTCATACCTTGACATTAACGGGTTCCGTTGTCGCCAGAGCTCCGTTGATTTTGATCGTAGTCGAGCTAGTGGTGAAGTTCCCCGCAGCGGCTTGACTACCAGCAACCTTCTGAAGTGTCATGGCAACAGACTTGGTGTTAATTACCACTGGAGGAGAGGAGGTATTCATGCCCCCCAGGATTGTGTCGCCGATAGAGTTGACGAGCTGTTCAGACTTCTCAGCTCGTGCCTATAAAAGAGAGTTTATAATCGGTAACCATGCATAAAAATTACAAACTCAAAAAAGGTAAATCTGAAATACAGTTGTTATTTTAAGGTCTTATTTTTGTTTGAAATACGTATGTGTAATATATATACATTTCTCTTGCATGTACCATACTCTACAGGTAAATAACGCACAGAAGACATGACGTTTCTTATAAAAACTTAAATATTTAATAAATTCTTAAATGCGTGGTCAATTTGGCTATTTGCATGTTCCCGACCAAAAGACCCCTCTCCTTTCTTAAGAGTGGTATTTAGAATATGTTTAAATTATATTAAAATGTATGTATTGACCCAAGGTTAGTCTTGGATACATGTTGACTCGAATTTGCGTTTATAAATGTCTGCACATTCATTAACATTAAAGAAATTAATGAAAAAGAAATAAATAAAAAACGAGCATGCATAAAAACAGATAAAAAGCTGAATATAGAGCTAGGTCAACTGCCATCTTGGATCAATGCAATGTGAATAACATTAAGCAATGCTATTCAAGAGACCATTTGTACTCACCGCCTTGGCTGCGGTTGCATTAGCACTGTCCGTAACGTTACTGGCTGGGTCATCACCTAACGTAGTTGACAACAGGTTGCTGATTGTACCAACGATGGCTGAAATGTAACAGAAAAGGTGTTCAGCCAAGATCGGTGTAATGAGATAAGGTAAGCAAAGCCAAAATTGAAAAATTAATTTCAAAGGAAGTCTCCAGTGGTAGGTCCAGGGGGATGGGGACAGTAAGTGACGTGTACGTTCCCCACCTATTAGGAGGGTACCCCCTCACCCCAGAAAAGTTAAACAAGCGAAATGACACAATGGAAGCTAAGCAGGGGTGGATTCAGGCCATCATCTGGACGACGGTCAGATTTTCAAGTTTACATTGTCATACATCTAACGTTTTCTGTCGGAAGACGGTCAAAAATGGAAGATGGATCAACAAAGATAATTTGGAAGACTGTCAGAAAATATCTCTGGATCCGCCCCTGCTAAGTAATATTCCGTCCTGAGCCTTACATGTTAAAGTAAATTTGCCCTGTTTTATATTTGCAGAGGGAGGCCGTTTTAATTGCGCCCTCCTTTACTTCACAAAGAAAAAAGCACTGCTTATCTCATCACACCTATCTTGACTGTTAATTGATGGATTGTGTAGCTGCTAACATTATTTAGCAATTTTAACTCTCAAATACCTGTAGATATTTGTGTTAATGCTGCGTTTCCAAGGTTGGCGTTTGAGGACATCTTGTTAAGTATGGATTCACTGGCGTCGAGAGCTTTGTCCTGCAAAGATGAAAAAATATTGTTACTGTTGGAGAAATAAAATGTACATAAGGTTATTCTCAAGGTACATCTTTATAACATACAAAATACTGTTTACAAATACTTGATATACAGTGATTTCTATCTGCACAGTGTGTGAGGGTGTGTGTCTGTGTGTGTGTGTGTGTGTGTGGCTGTGTGCATGCATGTGTGGGATTGAAATCGTATGTATATATGTACATATACGACATCTACTTGTGAACTTCTTTAGCGTGCAGTGCTTGGTCTGCCACACGCGTGCATGTATCTGTACGCATGTATTGTGTGTGTGCGAGTGTGTGTGTGTGTGGGGGGGGGTATGTAAGGAGAGATGTGTCTATTGCGGCCCTTGTGACAATATTCCCAAACAATTTAGTACATTAACTTACCATTGTAGCCTCTGTGATACCGGAGGCATCCGAGTCGGTGATAGACGACAGCGAGTCGGCGACCTTCGCCAAGCCGGCTTCATCGGTGACAGAGTCTATTACGTTCAACATGGCCGATACTGCCATATCTCGTACCTGAAATAATGTGTTCAAGCCAGCATAGAAGTTTAATTGATAAATATATTTCATTCATTTTTATTTATTTATTTATTGCTTTTGTTATTACCTTTTGACATTAAGGACATTAACTTTTGTTGTGCATGTTATATTGCAGGAGAATACTATATGATAAATACAAACTAGATCAAAAATGCGACGACATTCATTTAGGTAAATGTACCTGTGTTCCAGTGAAACAAACAAAGAAAGAAGAAAAATATTAATGAATAAAAGTAAAAGAAAAACGATTAAAATCATACAAGCCTAGTACAATGTTATTTCGGAAATCGATACCCATTGATTTGCCCATAGCTACTCAGATCACCAATACAAGTAATTATAACACGGTCCAGAAGTGAGTATAATAAACATGACTACGAACCTGTTGTAACTGGTCGGTGTTGGTTGAGCTCTGGAAATAATAGGAAAAATCCAGTAAAACAAATGGGAAACGTATTTATGTTGTGAACGAGTGCACTGTGGTACATGTACAGTTGTGATCACAAAACAACGTTGAATAACTTTTTTTGTCTCTTTCCATAATTTGTCTTGATGAAAACGGATTCTTCCCTGAAGTAAAAATCTGGTATATTTTTCCATGAATATAACTTTTATCTGATTTCAAACAATGCCTATTAATGAAGCATTTCTCTTACTGTATTACTTATGGCGGCCACCACGCTGTCCAATGCGTCCGGTGAAGTTATTGCAGATGCATTGAAGGATTCCAATAAATCACCTTTGAAAAGAAAGGAAGTGAGACAATATAAGTTAGACATATATAAATATATATATATATATATATATATATATATATATATATATTCAAAGGCATGAGATTTAAATATACTCTCCTTTTATATATAAACAAATAAACACCTCGGGAACTCTGAGCTGGGGTTGATACATGTCTCTTGTTTTTAATTAATTAATTAACTATAATTTTTTTTTTTTTATTGNACAACGTCGCACGCAACAACAGACTCGCGACAACAGAGAACAAACAATGAAATTAGAAAACAATACCTTCACGTTATTTGGTACCGTATGTATCGGTGACGTATGTATCATATAGAGAATTTCAACAAACGGTTTCAAGACAAGTAATCTTTACTTGCCCTGCTTTTCCTTCTTATTGTAATGTTGTATACCGTAAGAATAAGGCGTTTGCTCACAAAACGGACAACAAACAATTAAAAAATAAAAGTATTTACAAGCCACATAGTAACTATTTTCATTGGTTGTCTGTCGTTTTGTGCGCCAACACCTATGTCTTAATGTTACATTAAAATGAAAGAAAACGAGACAAATAAGATTTCTTGCCTTCAACTATCTGTGGAAATTGTTCATTTGATTCATACGTTACCGATATATACATGGCCAAATAATATGAAGGTGTTGTTTTCTGATTCCATTGATTGTTTTCTTTTGTCACGGCTTTGTTAGTGCGTGCAACTTTGTATATGTGCGCACGTTTGTACGTCGTTCTTTCTGTTTGTTACCTTTATTATATGTTACATACGTTACCGATACATACGTTACCATGAAGCGCGTAAATATTTATTTATTCTATTTTCATTGGTTGTCTTTCGTTTTGTGGGCCAGCACTTATGTCTTAATGCTACATTAAAATGAATGAAAACGAGACAAATAAAATTTCTTGCCTTCAACTATCTGTGAAAATTGTCCATTTGATTCATACGTTACCGATATGTACGTGACCAAATGATATGAAGGTGTTGTTTTCTCTTTCCATTGGCTGTTTTCTGTTGTCACGTCTTTGTGAGTGGGTGTGACTTTGTATATGTGCGCTTTTCGTTTTACGGCCCTCATTCTTATTTGTTACGTTAATATGATACATATACGTTACCAAATAACGTGAAGGTATTGCTTTCTGATTTCATTGTTTGTTCTCTGTTGTCGTGACGCTGTGGTTGCGAACGACGTTGCATATGTGCGCACGCTTGTTTTTACGTCGCTCATTCTTCTTTGTTACGTTAAAATGATACATACGTTACCGATACATACGTTACCATGAAGCGTGTAAATATTTATTCTATTTTCATTGGTTTTCTTTCGCTTTGTGGGCCAACACTTATGTCTTTTATTTGTGTTTCATTAAAATAGTGTTGGCGCACAAAAGGAGAGACAACCAATGAAAATAGAATAAAAAATATTTACACGCTTTTTGGTAACGTATGTATCATTTTAACGTAACAAAGAAGAATGAGCGACGTTATAACATGCGTGCGCACATATACAACGTCGCTGACTTGATATCTGTAAGATTCTGCAGGGAGAAATGGGAGACATGGCCTAGTTTTTTACCTCTCAAAAAGTTTGCAATATACTTTGTCTTTCAGTGGTTCCCGATTATTTAATATTACCAATGTTATCACTCTGAATCGCATAAAACACTTTTGGAAGTAAAAGAATCATATTGGAAACTATCACTACACTTTCTTTTTATCATTTTATTTTTATTCATCTTAGTATTGCCACTGACATATCTACTAGTGCCTCAATTTAGGACTCATTCCCAATGACACTATTGGTCTATGTAAATCGATCCAACTCCACAGGGACTCTTGCTGAATGCAATTGGATTGGCTCGCCTCCTTTTGTTTATAACATGCTTGTTTTCCATTTTCTACTCAAAGCTAGGGGGTGGTATGCTAATCTCTTAATCTGATTACATTCAGCAAGAGTCCCCCTGAATTGATCTACCTAGACAGATAAAACACTGAATGCACTCTTATTTTTATTGGGACTGAGTTCTTAGACCTAAATATTCTTGCACAGTCATATAAATAAAACAACAACAATAAATAATAATATTATAATTTATTTATAATTAAAAGTTGGTTGGTACATTGATAATGTTAAAATGATAATTCTCAGAAAAACAAAGGCCAAATACATTTTCAAGAAGTACATTAAAATTGAAAGTTATGTATAAAGTTTATGAAATTATATAATTACCTAATATAAGTATGATAAATAGTGACAAAAACTGCATTGTAGACTTTCAATTTAATTTTCAAAGACATAAAAACAGTATTCATACACATTTGCACAGTACTTTTTACTTACATTTTTGCGATAAAAATTCCCCATGTAAATTTATATGTCCTTTGTAATATTTCATAAGGAAACAAAAGTCTGAAATTCACAGCAAAGAGACTGTTGCCACTTTATAAATGTTCTCTCTCTGATCACTGTATATCATGTCCATAGTGTGTTCAGGTATTTCCATACGAGACTACAGACACATATACTACTATGATATCATCACTGTATATCATGTCCACAGAGTGTTCAGGTATTTCCATATGAGACTACAGACACATATACAACTATGATCATCACTGCACTGATGAATACAATAGTCACATCATATTACCTGGTTGGGGTTATGTGTGTAAATGAAATATCTTCAATATGACAGTAAGTGTAAATGCAACTCTCAAGTGGTGAAAAGCTTTAAAATTTTTATTGATCAAGTATCCTTCATCAGTTTTGTATAGATATAAGCAGGCCCGTAGCCAGCAATTTCAAATGAGGGGTTCGTTTTCTGAAAATGTGGACCTTTTACCATAAAACCTTCATGTACCTAGATCAAATTTTATCCAAAGTGGACCTTTTCCCAGCAAAAAGGGCCGTTCTTTTGAACCCCCCCCCCCCAGCTACGGGCCTGATAAGCATGTTTTACCCCCTACCCAGGTTCTGTATGATATTATTTGTTAATGAGCACTTTCAGAACAGAGAACTAACAGATCCCTGGATCAAATATGGTGACCCACTCAATGCTAATGCTTGTTGCTTAATCCCTGTGGGGAATCTATTCAGTGTCTAATCAGGAATTAAGTGGCAAGTTTTTTAGTGGGTTGCCATATTTGATCCGCAGATCTGTTAGTTTTCTGTCCTGAATGCGGCCAATGAGGCATGAGAGAGAAAATATAACAACTATAAGAAAATATAATAGGAGTCTGAAGTTTTCTTAGTATTTAATTTCTGTTTCTCACCTCTCTTTATCTATGCCTCTCTACAACTTCAACCCAGTTTCTCTTAAATAAAATTCTGCACTAATGAGCTAAATTAAATAAATAAACATTCTTTGATTACAAACAGCTCCAGAATATTACCAAGTGGGAATTTACTAGGTACCAGTGCTTATAACAGGCATTAACAATGTGAAGATTCAGTCATCATTCTGACTTGCTTTATTCAGTACTAATTTATTAGCACTGCTTCAGGCAAGCTAACTCAATATATAACTTTGGATATTAAGATAAGAAAATGCCTTGACATTTGATTCAATTTCATTAAAAAAACTAACAAAAAATTACAAAGTAAGCACCAAAGTAATAATAAGTACTCATCTTTTATAAAGACTAGTACAATGGGATCACAACAGTAGTGTACATACTAGTATAAAAGCTTTAGTATACTTACTGCAAGATGTTGCTTAATTCTTTATTTAAAGAAATAACAAAATGATTTTCTGCATTTCACTTATACAAAATTGCTGCAGATATCTTTTATACTTAATTGTCTTTGGGCAAACCATAAGATGAGCACTACCATAAGACTAGACAGCAAAGCTGGCAAAATATACAGACACAAAATATTCACCAAAATACACACACACAAAAAAGAAGAAAAAATTCAAAGAAACAGGTTTGATAAGATTCTGATTTTTTTACTCATTCACAGTTGGGGGAGGCATGCACAAATTGGGACCCGCTTCACGAAGCAGTAGTTTGTTAGTGATCGATAGTAGGCCTCTTCCTAGTTATGAGTGCAGTTTTACGAAGCTATCGCTAGTTCTCTCACTCATTATTGTGTTGTTGTTACCATGGATATTTCATGACTGGTCAGACCAGTCGCTAACTCTAGAGTTTCATCATACACATGTGTATTAA